AGTTTCTCTACCTTTAGAGTAGGAGGGTTGTAAAGACCAAAAAGTAAACAAATCAAACCAAAGCAACGACAAAACAGGGTTAAGGGTATGAGAGTGCTCTGAGGGCTGTAAGAGCCAACATCCCCATGTGTTCCCTTCCCTCCTTCCAGAACATCGAACAAAACAACTCCTACGGTCTACCCATCGGGGGGTCTAGTGGTGTGCTGGGTGTCCAGCTGTGGGTTCCCTACAGGGAGGAAGGGGAGGCAGAGGACAGGCCATAATCAATGCCCCAAAGGTGCTTCCACACTCTCGGGGAAGCTCAAGAAACACATCCAAGGCAATTAGGAAATGAAACAGAAGAAGAGAATCAGACACTCAGTTGAGTGGTTCAGCTCTGAGTACCGGAGCTTCAAGGCAAAGTGGAGCCCAAGGGGAGTCTCTGAGGATGGGCAGGATTTGGAAGCAAGGCGAGATAAGGTACTCCTTGGGGCTGGACTGGCAGGGACAGGTCTGAAGGCCTGGAGGTGGGGCTCAGGGAGAAGGGGAGGGGCAGCCCGTATATGAGTAGGAACCAGCCGCTCCCTCGCCTCCAAGCGCTGTAATCACCTGGCTCTCACCCTGGCCAGGGAAGTGCTGAAGGACACAGGTCTCAGGCTCCTCTAAATGCCATGCCTCTGGGAGAGACTCCACCAGGGCAATTACCTGACTAAGCTCACACGCTTGCTCTTTAAGGATATCATTTTAAAGCTCTAACAGGAGGGACCTCCCTAAAAGGGAGAGGGCCGCAGTCAGACCCATCTTTATTATCTTCCCGTAGACTAATCCCTAACTTGCAAGGGACACTTACGGCAGCTTTTCTCAGCCCTAAAAACCCAGTAAGTTTTCCTTGGCTCTGGAGGATTACACTGACTCCTGTCCCCCAGCCTTTTAAGGTTCACACTGATCCCCTACCTCTTAATGAATTCATTCAATGTGATCCGACGTTTAAAATCGACCGCCCATAAGCTTCCACATGCAGGAGTTAGCGCCTTGTTGCTTCAAAAGCTCTGGCCCACCCGCAGAACAGCCGCCTGAGCCCATGGCACCCCCAGCCTTATCTGTGCTGACCGATGGCTGGCCCAGCTTCCCTCAGCTGCAGGTCACCTCCAGTTACCTCCAGGTGACTTTCCAAACACAAATTCTTGACCTTGAAAGATATGAACACAAACCACACAGAGCCATTCCATAACCATTTTGGGGTGGAATAACTTCCAGAAAGCACGTCCTTAGATGGAACAAAAGTTGGCTCCCAGCCAGGTGTAAGACACAAAGAAGCGAACACCTTGGTCTTGGTCTATAATCTCTGCCCAGTGAGCAGACCTGGGGACCTGAAGACCACCCACTGCAGAGGGGAGGCCAGCCCTACTTCATGGGCACGAATTCGCCTCCTGAGCCCTCTCCCAGGGGCAGAAAGGCTGGGCCACTCTTGCTTGAAAGTCAAGGGCCCCAGGCCACAGTGCCTGCCACCAGAAAATGTTGATAGGCGTGAGGATCAGGGAGCAAAGAGCTGAAACGGCTTTAAAACAAAGAATTCCTTCTGGAAAAACCTGCAAACATCTGTCTTCCTTCCTTTCCTTCTTCCTCCCCAAACAAAATAACCTATAGATCATCTACCCTCCTAGTTGGAGTGTCAGCAGAAGGCTACAGGGAGACTGAAGACTCTCTGACCGCAGTGCCACGTGGAGTGAGGTTTCAGGCGGGCTCCAAAGAACCACCAGCCAAGGCAAATGCTGAATGTCAGACTAGCTTCGCCGATGAGGAACTGACCTCTGGGGAAGAGTGTGCCGGTGCCAGTGATTATGCCTGGTTTAACACTTCCCTCCACCACATGGCCTGCAAGCTTACCCCATGGCTCCTGTCCTCATCAGGGGATGTGGCAGCCAAAAATGTTTCATGAACCTGGCAAAGTGATAAACTATGTTTGTGCTAATACCTTTGATTCCAGCCCCCTCACTGGAGTGCTGGTATTTTAAGCGTCCCTTTGATCTACTCCAAGTCCCTAATAAGAACCATCCAATAAACACTCTGGGTTTAAGTCAGAGACATTAACAGAAGCCCCAGGACTCTGATCCCTTCTGCTCAGTGGAATGCACCACTAGAAATTTATCACATGCAACCTGAGAAAAAGGTGAGGCAGGCCAGGGAGAGATCAGAGGGTTACCCTCGAGGCCAACTTGGCCTTGGCCAGATTCAGTCACGGTCTGGCCCCAGCTAATGCCTAGTTCTCAGCTCAAACATTTTCCAAAACAGCCCAGGTTTCCTGGGGGAGATGCTGTGACCGGTTCCATTTGCTTACAAGTGGTGAGCTCTGGCTTGTCAAGAGGGCCATATAGCTCCTGCTCTGGGGAGAGCTCCCTAGGGCTCCGACACCCCTTCCCCCAGGACCTTCCAAGGCCCCCAGGACCTGGCCAGAAACCCAAGACGGGTGGGAGGATGTGGCCCTGCCACTGATGGGAGGGGAAGGGAAGGGCAAACCAGTTTGCTCCTTTTCTGTCAGCCCAAAAGCCTGGGCTTTCAAAACCCGTCTGGCAGGCTGCCAGGTCTGGGGTGGGAGCAGTGACTGACAGGCTGGTTACTGGAAAGCTCCCATCATTAGTCCAGGAATGTTGTTTGGTTACTATGGCGACCTCCCCTACAAGCGGCCTGACTAAAGCACAAGGAATCTGTTACCTAAAACCAGCACCCCACGGAGCCCATGGCTTCAGGGACCAAGGTTAGCAGTGGCCTGATCCCTGTGACCCTCCCGGCTGAGCCTCCGGATCCCAGGAATGGAGAAGGGACCAGCAAAGGCATCTCAAAGCTTGCTGTGGGGATCTCTTGCATTCTGAGGCCTGGCCTGGCTTGGAACCCAGGTGCAAATAGGGAGCCTGCTGCCCCCTTGAGGCCCCCGGCAAACTGGCCAGCAATGGCCAGGCCAGCACATGTGCCCAGGGCTCTGTCGGAAGCCCTCAGGATTTCAGGAAGCTGCTCGGGTGTCTGGTTCCCACCGTGCCAGGTTCCCACTGTCCCCGCAGGCCCATCAGTCTCTGCCTCACCACGTTTCTGCCTTTTTAAACTCAAGCTCCATTAACTAAAGGTCACCCTACAGCTTGGAAATCAAGATTCTCTTTGCTTTGCTTTCTAATCCCTGAATTCAGGAAGATTTTCAAAAGTCAACTCCACGAAAGCTGGGTTTTTCTCCTGGAGTCTTGAGTCTGCCCCCCAGGAACGGCAACCTCCTGTGCAGCTAAGGAGCTTGAACACCTTTTCACAGCTTCCCCTGCCCTCACGTGCAGGACGCCCTCCCCCACCTCCCGGCCCACTGCGGGCACTTGCCTCCCTCGGGTCCCAGGTCCCGGCCTCACACTGTGGACCATCTTCCAGACCCACCCCCACTGCTTCACCCAGTGAAACCAGTTGTAAATTGACCGTGAGATCTTTTCTTGTCTGAGTCTCACAATAGTCCTTGGAGGCAGGACAGATGTCAGTCTTGCAGCGGCTGAGAAGATGCAGGGGCAAGCTGCTGGAGGCACCACAGGTAAGTGGCAGCCAGGGACCTGCTGTGGCTCCCACATGGGGACAAGCGCAAGAGGAAAGGGGTCTATTCCACCCGGCAGCAACCCCCTGGGCCAGGCCTCCCAGACCCCTGACACCAGCCTGCCAGCCTCTCCCCCACTAAGGCAGTCTCTGCAGAAAGGACGAGCCTCTACAAGGTCTCAGCCACCTGGGACCAGCGAGGCACTGGGTGGCAGACAGACCCAGACCAGGGGCCTTTAAGTGCCTGCAATACAGACCCTGTTGAGGACGCTGAGGTCAGGGCGAAGGAGGCTGACTTTTTTGTTTGGCTGCTGTGATGTTTACTGGGCCCGGGGTTTAATTAACTGCCGTGGCAACAGCGAGAGCCACACGCAGCTTGTTCCCAACGCAGGGCGCGGCTGGAGAAGCAGGATACACTTTCAGTTGAAGAGCAATGACGTTCTTCAGTGATCCCTGACCAGTAACGGACTCAGCGACATGTCCTGCTAATCCAGGTGTCTCATCCATGGGGAAAAGTACGGACTTATTTGCAAAGAGCCACGGCCACACCCTAGGGTCACTCCACAGGGCTGCGTGGCAGGTGGATTTTCCACCCCCCCACTCAACTCGTGCACTCAGATGGGAGACGCTGGCACGGGAGGCTCCTGCACTGGGCTGGGGGCACCGAGGGGCCAGCATGTGGGCCCCCTTCCCTGGCTTCCACAGGACAGCTCTGCTCCCATCCGTTCACGGTTTCCACCTGCATGCAAGATTTCACTCAGAAAAAGGACCGGATCTGATGCCTGGCCCAGCCTCTTGTTTCTTCTGTGACAGGCACTCTGACCCAGGGGCCAGGTGAGGCAACCCCTCCCCACTCTAGGATTCTAACCCTCTCATCGTGACAGTTTCTGTTTCCACTGAAGCGTAACCGACAATAAACGCACACACACAGAGGCACACTCATACACACATATGTGCACACACATGGCTGGCAGCAGACCGTGCGTCAGACCCTGCCAGATAGGCATGAGGATGGAGCTTGGAAAAAAGCCAGGTAACTGGTACTGGAAGAGGAGGACCTTTGTCCTTCGTGTATTTGTATAAAAGTAAAAAATAAACTTCTACACAGTAGGTCTTGCCGTATTACATTTGGGATTAGGTAACTAATCCCTTGTCCGCACAGGTTGTTTTATCTACGTGTAGTGTTCCCTAAGCGGCCTGTCTTTTAAAGTGAACTGATTTCAGTTTTAATAATCTCTCAGATGCAGGGTGGAGACCAAGAGCCAGGGCTGTCTCCCGAATACAAACAACAGGCTACGTGGAGCTGCCCTCGCACCACATAGCAGGTGTGTGCCCTCTGCTTACACCTGGCCAGAACAGAATGCCAGAGCCAGGCTCCGCCCCCACAGGTCCCCGCCCCACCTCGACGCTCAGTGTGTGCATTGAGCAGCCCGCCAGCCCAGCAGTGTCCGCGGGGAACTCACTTGAAGTTCTCGGGATGCTCCGTGATGGCCATGTTGATGACATCCAGGGCATGCTGATGGTGCTTCTGGGCGGAGAAAAGGAGCGCCAGCAGGTGGAGGGCATTGGCGTCATCCTTGCACACTTTCAGGGCCTCCTGCAGCTGCTCCATGGCGCTGGAGATCTGCCGGAGAAAACTGCCAGCTGAGCGACCTTCCCCAAGGCCCACACCTCTCCCCGGACTCTGGGGCCAGGTGCCAGCCAACAGGGGTGCAGCAGACTCAAGTGAGACCCCAGGTACTGTGGGGTAGGCAGGGGCTCTGATGAGAAAACACCACCCCCCAAATCACGTGGCCAAGAGGGATCTGCTGTCCAAAGTCAGGCCCTGGAAGCTAGCGCTGTCCCCACGCCAAGGAGGGAAAAGAGGGGCAGGTTCACAGTGTACCACGAAGGATCGGCCGGGAAGCACCAACTGAACCGGAGGAGTGGGGCTGTGGAGAGGCCACCGGACCACTAGCTACAGAACTCTCCTCTGAACCTGCTCACGCAGTGCTGGGGGCAGACAAATAGATGCTGCCTCCTACTCAGGCTCACAGTGGCAAGAGCTTAGGCTCTGGGGTCAGATGGGGGCATGGATCCCAGCTCTGCCACTTCCTAGCTGGCGCCCAGGGCAGGGGACTTCGCCTGTCTGAGCTGCAGTCCTTACGCTGCCAAATGAGGATAACGGTCATACCTATGACAGTGGCTGGGTGAGACGACGTAGGAAAAATGTCCTGCTGAGTATCGAACACGTTTGAAAACTGAGTTTCCCTCTTCAAGCGCCCAAAGCCCAGGCAGCTAATGAACAGGTAAGATCTTTTCTTCCAGTCCTGAGGGACGTGTTCTCTCAGGCGCTCAGGCCTGGCAGTTGTGTCAGCTCCTGTGACTCTATCCACACCAGGACCCCGTCCTCCCAGGAACCTCAGGAGCCCTTTCCAGAAAGTCTTGTTCTTCACCAAACCTCAGACCCCGGTCTCCAACGCTCCTTGAGGGGCCTACAGGACACAGGTCAGCTGGGGCCTCTGGTCCCTGGTGTGCCTGGCACCTGCCTGGTCTCCACGCGGCCTCTGCACAGGCTGTGGGGACTACTGCCAGGCCCAGGGTCCTCCCACGGGGACCTCCCTTTGTGGAAAGGTCATGGAAAGTAAAGGAGGAAGCTAAGGTCAGTGTGGCTCCTGGCTTGGCTTGCCCGTGCCTCCCCAAGGCTGCTCCTGCCCCGTTATTCTGGGCTGGGTGTCCAAATCCTCGGCCCTCACTACTTGAGCAGCCATGCATGCTCTGGGCAGGATGGGCCAGAGGAGCTCAGAGACGCAGGCAGGCAGGACTAGCTTAGAGCTCGTTCAGGGACCTTCAACCCCCTGAGGTTACCAAGATCTGGGTCCCCAAGGACAATGGGTGCCAGGCTCCACTGGCCTGGCCCAGCCATCTCTCAGGGAGGACAGGCGCCATTCATCAGAGGCGGCTGAATACTTAAGGATATTAAAAAATGCATCACCGAAGGTTTATCAGGAACTTGATTGGCAAGGAAAGCACTGGTTCTTTTACAGAGGGCTAAAAATAAACTGGTCTCAGGTATCTTTGCGTCCACGCTCCTGGGAGCAGCAGAGCAGACTGATGTTTCTGGAGAGAGCAGCAGAGAGGTACAAAGTGCCTCCTCCAGGACCTGGAAGTCAGGAGCCAGGGGCACAGTGGGAGAGGGGCTGGAAACACAGCTCCCTGAAGAAGAGACCAGGGGCTAGAAGTTGACATCGACCAGTAAAACCAACCACCAGGCAGGTGGACAAGGCTCCAAGTGCCCAGTCTCCAAATGGGACAGGGGGACAGGATACTTAGAGCCCCATGGGGTTGCTTCACTGGGTCAGAGTAGGATCTGGAGCAGACACTGTGCTGGCCTGGCCAGTTCCTAGTTCCTGAGCTCAGGAGAGCTTCAGCGCCTCAGGTGTCAAATGGGGCCACCGGCGCCCTCCTCATCAGACGCAGGGCTCGCCCAGGCCAGTGGGGGTACGGCAGCACCCTCGTCAGCCAGGCTGCCTGTCACCTGACCAAGAGCAGATGGGGGCTCTGTGGACTCCTCTCCAACAGTCTGGAGCCCAGCCCGGGTCCCTGCTGGCTTGTCTGCAGTTCCCGAGTGGCCCAGCGTCCACGCTCACCTGACCAAAGCCACCGAGAGGTCCTGCTTCACACAGAGCACCAGCCTGCGGGGCACACGTGAAAGCAGAGGCTCTGAGGGGCCTGGGTGACGGGAGCTCTCGCTCGTTTCTGAAAGGCAATGGCTGGGTGGGTTGCCCGGCCTCACTCCCTGGACAGCTTGGGGAAGGAAGGTGGGTCGGCCTGGAGAGCCATGTAGGTCGAAGGTGGTTGGCGGACAGCAGGCCCCCGTCAGCCCCCAGAGGCCGAGCCTGCCGGTGGCGTCCACAGGGCCAGAGGAAAGCTCTGGGTCACACAGAAACAGCTCCACGTGCCAATCACTCTACTCCTCCAGACCCCTGGGGAAAGCTCAACAGAAGGTGAGGACACAAGCAAATGTTTATTGTGGTCACCTGTCAACTTCTCAGGAGACGGACACATTGTAGGAGGAGTGAGGGCAGAGAATAACCCCTTCCTGTGTGCCCACTGTGGGCCAGGGGCTTTACCACATTAGCTGACTTAATCCTTACTAGGGCCCTCTGAGGTGGAGTATGAAGGTGCTGACATAGCAGACAAGGAAACAGAGGCTCAGAGAGGTCAAGTCACTTGCAAAGGGTCACACAGCTGATAAAGGCAGTGGAGCCAGAAGATCAGCAGCCCCCCGAGACCTGGGTGTTAGAATTGTGAGGACTCACCTGGCGGACGAGGGCCAGCTGCAGGGACACATAGAGGATGACCTGGGGGTCACCGGGCGCCAGCTGCTGGGCTCTGTATGGGGCAAGGGAGCAGCAAGTCAGCCATCAAGGTCGACAACCAGTGTGTGACGTGGGTCTCCAGCGTGCCCACCCTGTGCTGGGTGCTGCAGGGCCAAATGTTGGAGATTCTGCCTGGGCTCGCTCTGGAGGGTGCCCCGTGGGAGACGATGGCTGGGGCAGAAAGCCCACAGGCAGCCCAAGGCAGGGGCAGTGGGTGCCGAGAAAGAGCTGGCTCTGGCTGAGGTGGGGGCCGTCTGGGAGGACAGGACTGCTGGGTGGGGGAAGCCCTCTCCTCCGGGCAGCTGTTGACCCGGCTGTGGCCTGGTACAGAGCCTGGAGTCTGCCCTCTCCGCCGCGCGACAGAAGGGAACGGTTCCCGGAGGATGTGGGGCTGGGATGGCCTCTCTGGGCAAGAAGCGCTGGGAATGAAGAGCCAGCGGGGGGAGGGAAGGAGATGTCCCCTGATCCTGGGAGTTCAGAGGGGGTTTGCCAGGATGGGCCTCTCCTTCCTCCCTGGGCTTGAGAACAGCCTGCCCCAGAAGGGAGTTCCCAGGAAGCTGGCATAAGGAGTCCAGGGCAGGCCCCTACCCAGCAGCCGCCACCCGTGCTCTGAGGGAGAAAGACACACGGGGCTCATGGGGAAGAGCCCTGCGATGGGCCAGAGGAAGGAAGGGGAGGGATGCTCAGGTGGGTCCCCGGGCTGTGGTGGAGACGGGGCTCAGCCAGGATGGGCCTGGAGAGGGAGGAAGGGCTGCTGCTGGGGGAGGGGCTTCTCTGCCGCCCCCTCCCTCCCTGGACTCTGGGCTCCTGGGAAATCTCTGTGAGGACTTGGGGTAGGGCTCCTCACAGCCCTCAGGTGGCAGAGGGGCTGGGAGGAGGCAACCACTCTTTCTGAGTCCCTGCTATACTTGTAGGTCACTGTGCAAGGTGCTTTCCTGCTATAGCTCACGTCCCCAGAGCTCAGGGGGACGGGAGCTGAGCCTGGGGGGAGCTCTACTCGTGTGGAAGGGCTCAACCCGCCCACCCAACCCCAAAGGCCTGTCCCTGCTTCCTGTGTGAGCTCTCAGAGCCTCGGTTAGCTGGTCAACAACATGGGGACAGAAACCTTTGCTCTGTCTACGCCAGAAGGTCTCCTGAGAGAACATGAGAACGAGCCACCTCGAGCAACGCTGCCATTCGGGCCCGCCTCCCTCACCTCTCCAGCGTCTGCAGTGCTTTCCGGTGCAATTCATCTTGCTTGGATTTCAGAGTCGCTGCAGGAGACAGGATGGAGACGAAGCCATGAGGGGGTGCTGGAGGAGGGCCAACCCAGCTCTGTCCCACCCAGGGCACAGAACTCTGCGGGGAGAGGCCCCACCGGGACCCCATCTGGCAAATGCTCGCACTCAAGCAGCTCCGGAATGGTGCCACCCTCTGCCCTGGTTACTGGGGGAAGGGGTGCAGGTGTCTCCCTGGTCCTAGCCTCCTGGCATGATTCTTGACACAACAGATCCTTGTACTCCTTTGCCTTCCTTGCCACCTGGGCCACACGGACCCTTCCAAAGGCCCAAGCCTCTAGGGAGAAGTTACCACCTCTGTCCTGGCCACATGCCTCCCTGGGCTTCCGTACTGATGAGGCTTCTTCTTTTCTAACCATTTCAACAAATTTCAAGTGCACGATTTCATGGCATTAAGTACATTCGCCATGTCGTGCCACCATCGCCACCATCCGTCTCCAGATCTTTCTCATCGTCCCTAACAGACTGTCTGTACCCACTGAACACTAACTCCCCTCCCACTAGGCCACCAGAAACCTCTATTATACTTTCCCCATGAGGCTTCTTGATTTAACCCAAACCGGGCACCTTTCTGGTAAATTAAATCATCTTTAAATAGGGTAGCACAGGCATTCGAAGCCTTAGCAGCACACTGAACCCCTGGGAAGCTTTAAAATGACTGTTGTCAGGCTCCAACCAGACCAGGTCAAGATGCTGCTGGCATGGACGGATGTCAGGGGTCCCCAGCTTATAAAGCAGCCCTGCTTCTAGAGGATTAAAGGCACATGGAGGGTCTCTGGACTCTGACTGAGGGACTGATGACTCCCTCACTTGACCAGTGTGTAGGGATCCCAGGGTTCCTTATCAGAGCCTCACCGATACCTTGAAGACACAGTGACTACTGTCACTCAAGAACAAGCAGCTGGCACGGCACCAGGATCTCACCCCTCTTCCTGCCCTCGTCTTGCAAGTGCCAGCTGTTCTTACCTCTCGTTGTGCGGGGCCTCTGAAGCCAGCTCCCAGGGGCACCGCCTGAATAGGCGGTGTGGGTTGGAGCTGATTACTATTCCGGGTTTGGTCTGGGTGGGGGCCTATCACTCCCTTTCCCTCAAGCTGCAAGGATACAGAAGTAGGTGGCTGCCGATCCCTGGGGGAACACACGGCTGAGCTGGCGGGGTTGGGGACGGAACACCAGACTCCAGGCGGCAAACCCACGCACCAAGCACAAGTATTCAGTAAACGCCTGCTGTGTACCCAGCTCTATGTCATGCACTGGGGGGGGGGGGGGGTGGTTTAAAAGACCCCAGAAGATGACAGTGGTGCTGACGGTAAAGGTGAACCAGAAAAAAGACACTGTGCGGTCAAGGGCTGGTGGCGCATCACAGACGGCAAGCGCCACAGGAGTTCCAGGGGCAGAGGTCAGCGCGGGCTGTGCCGGGGGGCAATTAGGAGGCCTGGGTCACCCCGAGCAGAGGCTCCTAGGCCCCAGCACTCACCGTCGGTGGCCTGCAGGCTGTAGGTGAGGCCCAGTGCCAGGTAGCCCTTGGAGAGGAACTCCCCGGCTTCCTCTCCGAGCTGGATCACCATCATGGCAAAGTGCTGCGCCTCCTTCAGCTGCAAAGAGGAGGCGCAGGTCACCGCGGAGGGCCGCCATTCATAGTCACCAGCCCGGGGCCCTCAGAACTGCAACTCCTTGCACCCGACCACAAAGGCCAGGCGCCCTCCTGAGGCCACACAGTCACTGAATGGAAGGAGAGCTGTTTCTTCCACAAGCACCAACCTGGACCTTATCCCCCACCCAGAGGCCTTGTGCTCAAGATTATGGGACGCCACCTCTCACAGGGAAAGCTTCCCTCGCTCCAAGGATCCCAGCTCCCCGACAGCTGCTCTGCCGAGAGCCTGGACCCAGGAGCAGGCCAGTCTGTGCCAGCTCCTTTCCTCACTCTGCCCGTGTCCGTCCCTGCCCCGCTCGGCGGAGAGAGGGGAGCGGGAACGGGGGGCAGGCAGGGCTCGGGGACTGGGCCTCCGGGACACCGCCAACCCTGCAGGGCGGGCAGGCCACCACGCTGGCTCCGGCTGTGGGCTTGCTCCCTGACACCGGGAGCTCTAACTTTTCAGGCCTTGGGTTGTCTGTCCTGAGAGCAGGAGGGACTGTTCCAGTTGGAAAGGGACCAACTGGCTCAGGTCACGTGTGCACACATCACACACAACATGTGACACGGAGAGAGGGGCACGCAGGCAGCCCTCTGGGGCACCCACGGCAGGCAGGCCTGTTGGGAGGTAGGGAACAGCTGGAGGCCTCAGCTGTGCCCACTCAGGGCCCACAGGCCTCCCAGAGGTCCCCTCCCTCCTACCCACCCAGGAATGTCATCTGCCCGTGTGCCTGCTGTGGCAGTGTCACCAAGAACAACTGGTACCGCCCTCACCAAGGGGCTGAATGATTCATACCCACAGCCCCACTGCTGCCCAGGTGTCAGGGCTCCCTTGTGTGGAACATCTCCCCTCCCCCATCCGGAGGGGCCCACAAGGTGAAGCTGGGTTCTGGCACCCCAGCCAGTGAGCCCGCACTCTGCTCCCGTCCCTGCTCAGGCCCACCCCACCCAGCAGGCGAGGGACAGTTCTGTGCATCTTGTGGCCTGACCACTGGCCACAGCTGGGGTCACTGGTGGACTCTCCCTCCTTGGAGTATGAGGGGACCCTGAGATAGAGGCCATTAGCCGTGGGGAGGCGAGTTGGGCTGAGCCCACCATTTGGGCACAGCCACGGTGAGCTATGTGCAGGAAAAAGGCTGATGGAGCAGAGAACCCACCGAACAGAGGCGATAAAAACCCTCAAACTACAAGAGAGGCAGAGCACGTGAGGTGACGGCCCAGAGGGAGATGGTGGAAGGGGGGGCTGAATCCCAGCGGCCTGACCACCATCCCTGACAAATGGCGACAATGGCAACTCTCTACCCCCTTGTGGTAGAGCTCAAGCTGCCGGCCTGGGTAGTGGGCCACCTCCAGGTTGGTGGGCTGGTCACCAAAAGGACATGCGAGTCTGGGGAGCTGGGCCTGTAACACCATCAGGCCTGAGGACTTGGGCTTCGGGGGAGGCAGCAGCTCAGTAAACCCCACAGCTGCCTGCTTGCTGCCCAGTGCCCGCTGGCCGGGTGGACCCAAGTCTGTAGATGCGGAGATCTGTCCCCTGGAGCATGTGGCCCAGAAGGGCTCAGGAGAGCCGCGGGGCCCTGAAGTCGGAGCCGGGCTGAGCGAAAAGCACGGGACAAGCCTCGCGACACAGGCTCGGCCTGACAGGCATGGGGCCTTGAGCAAGTCACTGCAGTTCTACGTCCCAAAGGGCCTTATCTGCCAAATGGGGAGCTGGACCCCCTCCCACAATGTAACTACTCCTCCCTACAAACCTCCACTGAGGCTTCTGCAGCACCAGGCTCTATGCTGGGCCTGGCTGGGGAGGCCCAATGACACGGGGGCAGGATGCCCAGATGAGCACGCACAGAATCCCTAAGGAGGGAGAGACCCCACAGGACAAGGTGGCTCTTAATTAAGGCTCCACTGTATGGCGCTGGCCTGGGGCCATGGGAGCTCCCCAAGAGCAGGCAACCTCCTGGCTGGGGTTGTCCAAGGAGGCCTCGTGGCAGGGGGTGGGCAGGAGGCACCAAGGGAAGGGTAGGTGAGCAACAGCGTCTTGCCTCCTTGTTAATATCCCCACTGCTGGTGCAGCTGGTGTCCCACACTGTCTTTAGGCATCATTATGCCCCATTCAAACAGGAGCGAGCTTTTTTATAAACCACCAAGTACGAATTATAAACAGAATCCAGAAACCTCCTGCACTCCATGTGTGTGCAACTCTTCTCACGGCCATGTCCTCCTCAGCAAATGCCAGCTTCTATCTCCTGCAACCCATGTGCAGAGGGTGCCAGGAACAAAGCTCAGCAATTATTGGCAAACAGGGAAAAATTACTCTCCAATTTATATACATCATATCTTGGATTAATACAGCTCACCATCCTTTAGTTTTAAAAAGTGACAACGTACATCCTTAGCTTGTCCAACTTGTGGTCCCCTCTGACCCCAGGTTAGTAGCTGTCCTTGGCCAGTACTTGCCAGCCTTGCCCACATAGTTTAACATGGTCTTTAAGCGTGGTGTCAGCATCTGTCTCAAATCAAACCCACAAGGCTTCAATGTACCATTTTCTTACATGGCCGACACCACTGTGATTTCTCTTACCTACCACAAAACAGTTTTTTGCATGTGGAGTCATGTGATTATGAACAAAAAGAAGTATTATCAATTCTATTAAATATGATAATATACGATATGATACCATACAGTATTAATAGATTTATACATGGGTGCTCTACCTAGCGAGCAAAAGGGAAAAAGTCACGTCAAAAATCAACAAAAAACCCCAATATGTATGTATTTCAAATATAAAATATATATTAAAAGTATATACATAATGCACAATTCCTGTTCATCTAAGGCAGGGGTGGGAATCCTAAAGCCCTTGAAAATATGGCTTTGCCACCTTTGTTCTGAAGTATGATAATCCCACCCAAATCCAGAGTCAGCACCATGCCCATGGGTAAATTTTCCATGCAGAGAGCAAGACGGCCTAGCAGCTTAGAACACAAGCTCTGGGGCCAGGCTTCCTGGGCTCAAATCCTGGCGTGGCTATTTACTGTGTGACCTTGGGCAAGTCACTTCACTTTGCTGTGCCTCAGTTCCCTCTTCTGTAAAATGAGGATAACAGGCGTGTGTCTCACAGGGTTGTGGGGAGGACTGAATGAGATAAAGACACAATCAATGCTCAGAACAGTGCCTGAATAAACATAAACTACTACTATTATTATTGGTTGTGATTTTAGATCTATAGTTAATCTTCCAGAATTTTTTTTAAGTCTCAGCCTAATACATGTGGCGAGTGCCATCTGAATAGAGTCCCTGTCGCCTAAAGCTACATGAGCTCACTGACAAATTAGGAAGTGGCACCAAAGACCCCCCTGGAATCCAGAGAGGGGGCACCACTGTCTGCCTTTTGCCTCTGGCCCTGACCCTTCGTCTCAGATAAGGAGCAACTCTACACAAGGACAGCGGGGTCTCCCTGTGCAGTCAGCTGCGCCAGGTCGGTCAACCTCTCTGTCCCGTGGTCTGGGACACACATACGTGTAACCACCCACCTACCATGTCACAATACTCACCTCTACTGGGGGTAATACACTCGGATATTTTCTATGCTATTCTCTATTTCTTTTTTGAAAACGTTCTATTTCACAGTCCACTAATGGGTCTCAACCTACAGTGTGAAAAGCAAACTGCTGATTGATCCACCCAGCGCCTGCCCATCTACAACCACCCAGCCGTCTAGCACCTCACCTGCCCTTTCCAATCTCCACATACTTCCTCCTGTGGCCTCCAAAGTTAACAGCTAATGGCTCTGGAGTTGTGCCGCTGCTTCTGCAAGATTTGCTCGGGTTACAGCACTGGGACCTCCTTGCTCAACAAAATACTTCCAGGGTGAGGGGTTTCCAAAGCTTTCAACCATTCTCCCCCTACACTGCTTTTTAATACCTCCTTTCCTGTGGAGGCCATGTAACTTTGTCACAAAACCCAGGTGGAGATCCTCTCTCTCTTCCTCCCTTGCAATTCTAGAGCAGTTGGGTGCCCACCTGGCGTGTCATAGCACGGCAGCCACTTGATGGAATGGGTGTCTTACAGCTTAGGTTCTGAGGCACAGGGTGCTTAGGGGACCTATCCAAGGTCACCCGGCTGGTAAGTGAGAGAACTGAATTTCCAACCCAGGTCTTCTGAGTCTACGTTTGGATCTTTCGGAGCTGCCTGATTCACGGCTGCCCTCTGTGGGTCTTCATTTTTCTCCTCTCTGTCCCTTCGGGAAAAGGATGCATCGAAGGATGTAACGTTTTGACCCTTTGCTTTTGCTTTCTGTAAGTACGGAAAGCGTTCCCACGCCTTTCCAAGTTCCTGCATCTCTCCAGTTCTCCTCATTTGGTCCCCACACAGATAGGCTCCTGGCCTGTACACTCTGCTCTGGCTCAGGCTGCCCGGTTCATCTCGCAGTGGGCCAAAGAGCTTGTACCCCTGGAATCTCCACCTCTCCTTCCCTCCAGAGAAAGGTCATTTCTGAGCCCCCAGAGCTCTGCTTAAACAGCACCTCCAGTTTCTCCTTAGCTGCCTCCCATAGGATCCAGGACCTGTTGTTATCTGCTCTACTGAAGATGCACTTTTTTCTTCCTGGAAGGAACAGGTACTCTTCCTAATTTCCACAAGCTCGTGGCAGGAGAGCTGGCATTCTTTATGGCCTCCTAAACACTTAATCCATCTTCCTGGCGCTGCCCATCCCTGAATCTCAAAAATGAAGGCAAAAACACAAAGGCACATCCTTCCTGAGAGTCTGCTATTTTGAAGGGGCTGTCACAGGGATGGCTGCCATTTACCAGGTACCTCCCACATGCTAAATAAGCAGGGACACTGCTCAGCTCTGGTAGTCAGAGCCACCCTGTAACAGTTTACTGATGAGGCACAGAGAGGGTAAATTATTTCCAGTTTACTGATGTGACTGTTTCCAGTTTACTGATGAGGCACAGAGAGGGCAAATTACTCACCCAAGTCACACAGCTAGGAATCTGAACCCTACCCTCTCAGCCTCCAAAGCCTGCACTCTTCCCACCATCCCATCCCACCCCCTTAGGGGAAGAGGCCGAGGGACAGCACCACAGACCTTTCCAAAGATGAGCATGGCCTGCTTTTCCATCCCACAACCTCCTCTCCTTCTGTGTGTGACACACAGTCACACCCCCATCTCCTATCCTCCTAGAAAGGTTTTAACTTTTTTAATTAAATGAATTTGAACGAATTGTGTTTGGAGGGATGTGAAAAATATTTACACCTCCCTTTTCTCCTGCCCCAAATAACTGGCTGGGGACCCCAGCAAGATGCTGGTCATGCTGAGGCAGGGGGCTGCCCCACTGCTGTCACTGGGTCAGAGCCTGGGACACCCTCCCCCACCGAGGCAAGCCTCAGGCTAAGCAGAGGGGCCAGTGCTCTCAAACCCAGGGCAGCCAGCATTGGCCCATGCCGTCACCTCTTCCCAGGCCCCTCCTCACCTGCCCTCACCCAGGGGCAACCTTGATCTCAGACCCAGACCCAGTCTGGAGCATCTTACACTGGCTCTGGGCATAAGGACAGGACGCGGGGACAGCAGGTGCTCCACCTCTGGGCACACGGCCACCTGGTCCGCTTTCACCCAGCACAACTCGTTTTTCCAGTGTCCCAGTTTCAGCCTCCCTTCCTGCAGCCCGGGCCAAACTGTTTATCCCCAGATCTCGAGCCCCAGCTCATGGGGCTTGGCTGGGCAATGGCTGGGCCTGCTGGGGGCTGAGGTGAGCCAGGACAGCTGTGAAGGCAGGAGGCGGAGGTGGCATCGGTTGCCTTGCAGATCCGTGCCCCGTTATAAAGCACCAGCACCCCTCTGCCCGCCCGTCAGACCCGTTCTTCCTGCTCTCGGCCCTGAGGACAGAGAGTGCTGGGCTGCCCCTCTCCTGGCCTCCTAGGAGAACAGGCTGCCCCGGGGCCACCTACAGCCTGCTCTCAGCCCAGCACCAACCTAGGGAGCCAGCGAGAACCGTGAGCCAGATGTAGACTTCCCACACCTGTCCCTCGCGGACTGCTGAAGCAGGTGTTATTCTGTATTTCTGAACACCTACTATGTGCAGGGTTCTTTGTGAGAGAGAAGGGCTGAGGGTGTGAGAAACGGTAAGTAAAGAAGCTCCCCGTTTAGACAGAAAGGCAAGTACCAAACAAGGCAGGATTCCTCGACAAGTGACTGTGCTCACTGGCAAGTAGGATCCATCCAGTAAGCACTAGGCATTAACTCTGGGCTAGGGTTTCAGGAGAGAAGAGAGTGAGCTCCTGCCTTCAAGAAACACACATGCAACAAAAAATGCAATGCCTTGTGCTAAGTGTCCAAGGCAGGTAGGGAGGCACAGAAGGTTTTGTTCAGGGCAGGGAAGGCTGCCTGGAGCCCAGCCCCAGCCCTCCAGCAGGACCACGCTCTAGCCTGTACCTGAGTTAAACCCTGGCTCAAACCAGCCCCCAAACCCAAATAAACTTCTCCGCTGAGGTTAAACAACTCACCCTCCTCCCCAGTTCTGAGGTCCAGTCTGCATGTGTAAGTTTCCTTTGGGGCTTTTCTATTTATGTTGTCATTGATTACTTTGCTCCTAACTCATCTGTTTTCAATTTGGACTGATTGGATCCTAATTTTATTACCATGTAATCTGAATGCACATAATCACTGTAATTATGCTGCTGAGGGAAACAGCTCCTCCGCTGCGGAAAGACCTACATTTAGGGTTTCCCAGCAAGGGCGGCCGTTGGCTGGGTGGACCCACAGCCAACTCAGAGCTGGCAGCCCTCGGGAGCACAGATGCCCTCCCCGCCCCACCCCTGGCAAGGCGGGTATTTGGGCTGCATCCCAGGGATGCACTTGAGGCCCCTCTCAGGAGCCCTGGGAACACACAGGGGTGTGAGCCACGGGTCAGCGAGCCCACCCTCTGCATCCTCCGGCTCACGCCACCACCCACTGCTGCGATGCACTCAGACTGGGTCCCCACTCTGCTGGCACCCACATCTCAACAGCACCCTACCCTCTAGGGTGTAAGACGCTAACAGTCTCCCTAAAAACACTTGGGGGACGAGTTTCCCCACTAATCATGTGGCTGAGGAAAGCAAGCTGTGATGGAAGGGCCCGCCACTGGCCCACCTCGGAGCCCAGTCCATGGCCTCCTCCTCCTGGAAGCCTCCCTGACCTGTCCAGCCCTCTCCATACTTTATGTCATTTACGCCACATATGAGGAACAGTGAAACTCTTACCCACCTCATCACGAAGCCTCTTCCAAATGCCTAGAGCCTATTATAGATCAGTCTTACAGAAAAACATCATAAAGCCTGGGGCCAAAAGCCATGCTCTTCCCTCCCCCATCATCCACAGTTGTTTGGGGCCAAGGCAGGGCCATGTGTGCGTATCATACATGGGGACCTGAGGACTTCCTCCCCCCTCCACCAATCGTGCGAGGGAGCCAGTCCCTGCAGCAGAGGGGGGATGAGGCCCGCTGGGCGGTGAGGCAGGGACCCCTCGGAGGGGGTCCTCAGGATACCTGGCGGAGTCTCCCTTCCCAGGACTGGAGGAGTTGGAGAGGCTGCTAATTCTGAAGTGCCTGCTGTAGGCACTTGGAGCCTGGCCCCTTTGCCTTGGAACAAGCTGGGCACCCGACTGCGAGGGTAGGCTGGGGTGTCACGACATCAGGAAGGGGAGGACCATGTATGGGAGAAGCTCCCCCTTTGGGAGACGCTGGGCCAATGAAGGAACTGGGCTTATTTAGCCTGAAGAGAGGAGATGTGGGTGGGGCTGACAGCCAACACATGGGAGAGATGCTGCACTGTTCTATGTCACTCAAGAGGGTGGAAATAGGACCTCCCCTGACATCAGGAGGCTGATGTGGACCCGAGGAAGCCAGGAATGTAGGCAAGGGAGCTCCCAGCGAGAGGAGACAGCCGTGCAGAGGCCCCGCTGCTAGACCCCCCCAGGCTGGGAGCAGCAGCCCAGGGAGCCTGGCGGAGGGAGCACCAAGGCGAGGCCTGGGGCTCTGGGTTCCTGGCCCAGGGCTCTTTGCTCACTCCCCCTGCTGACCTCCTCGAGGTAAAGTGCTGCTGGGCAGAGGGCACACGTTGAGCTCATCTTTAGTTCAGCTGCCTCAGCAGACTGGTAAGCAGGGAGCTGAGCACAAGGCAGGGACCAGGGGGCTGGAGCCCAGAGGAAGAAGGGGGCTGACAGAGAGGCCACCTTCCCATTGGCCCGGAGCTGGTTCTGACTCCAAACGGTGTGTTGGCCCAGGTAACTCCAAGGTCCTGCCCACTGCCCCTGCTGCTGGGCAGGCGGGGGGCACCCCAACTTTTGACTCCACATTTGGCTCCCTGGAGACATTCAAGGCTGAACCACAAACCTGACACCATCCTGAGTTGGGGATGGAGGATGGAGTTTTCTCAGAAGCCATTCTCCACCCCGCTCTCCCCTCCAGGCCTGCCCGCCTCGAAGCTCCCCATGCTCCCCCACCCTTTACACACACAGCAAGGTGCGCACACGACCACCTGGCGCCCATCTGCCACCATCCTCCCACAGGAAGCCGCCAGGACCTGGGCCCTGACCCTGTAGCTCACTCACCCAGTGCAGGGACCCTATGCAGAGCTTGGCGGCCATCAGCGGCACCGTGGGGTCCGAGGGCCGCAGCTTCACGCACTCCCGCAGCAGCGACACGGCATAGGATGACTGCAGGAGAAAGGGTGGGCAACACAGTCACTCGCAGCCCTGCGCTGCGGCAGACTGGGTGCCTCATGCCCACAGTGGGGGCAGCTCCCAAACAGCCAGCCCCGGCTCTGCGCCCCGTTCCTCCCAAGCCAGGAAGAGGCCCAGCGGGAGGAGCCCAGGCGGCGGTGGTGGCAGGCAAGTCCCCCTCCCCGGGTCTCAGTTTCCTCATCTGGAGAATGAAGGCTGTGACCCTTGCCCAGAAGTGATGTGATAAGAGCTAAGGTGACAACAGAGGGAAGCTCTTCAAAAGGAATTCAAATGTGAACCACAGAAATTTTAGAGGTAGAAGGAATTCTCTCAGACCCCTGAGTTCAACACCCTCAGTTTATAGGTGGCAAGATGAGGATAAGCCCACGTGGGGACTGGAGGCAGGACCAGTGGTGGGGAGTGCGGGGAACATAAAGGCGGGCAGAGAAGCAGCAGGAGAGAAGCCGTGGGGATGGGGCCACACTAGACGTGCTGAGGACGGCCAAGTGTGGAAGGTCTGCAAAACCCAGCCCACTGGCCAAATCTGGCCCTCTGCCTGCTTTTGTAAATAAAGTTTTACTGGAACTTGGCCACGTCCATTCATGTGGATATTGCCTGTGGCTGCTTTCCTGACGCAAAGGCAGAGGAGAGTAGTTCCCACAGAGACCGTTGGGCCCGCAAGGTCAAAAATGTTTACTCTCTGACGCTTTACAGAAAGTGTGCTGACCCCTGTTCTAACTGCTTTATAAATATGAAGTCATTTGCTTTTCACAGCTCTATGAGGTAGGTAGCTATGTCCCTATTTACAGATGACAAAACTGAAATGCAGAGAAGTTAAATAGTGTGTTTGAAGCCACACTACCCCTAAGTGGCTGAGTTGGGGTTTGAGCAGTCTGGCTCTAAGCGTGTAACCACTGCCCTATGCTGCCTCTGTGGTGACTACCTTGGCCAGAGAGGAGGCCTCTCTCTCCCTGCTCTACACACACACACACACACACGCACTCACGCACGCACGCACGCACGCGCGTGTGTATAACTACAATTCCCACAAGCTGGGCCCTGCAGTGGGCCAAGCTCCCCGCCGTTAGTTAGCTCTCATCCTCCCCAGCCACTCCAGGCCCTGCTGGGGAAATGGGGGATCCAGAGGACTCTCCTGTCCACAGCACAGTGTGGAGACTGGCTGATGGAGACCTGCGGCCCCACTGGTCTGCGTCCACTCCGGACCCCTGTCTTTCTCTAGCTCCCTTTCCCTTCCCCCTCTGAGAAAGGAGAGCTTTTCTCAGCCCCAAGCATGGGGCTGGGGGATGTGGGGTCACTGCATGGAGGGGCAAGAGGCCATGGCTCTTGCCTGTCAGGTGCCCACAGAAAGGCCGGGGAGAGAGGACAGAGTCCCCACCACACTGCTCTCTCATGAAAGAAGACAGTATGAGACCAAGAGGGTGTTAGCATATGACCGGCTGGAAGGCTGCGTGGGAGGGAGGGATTCGGCCTGGGCTGGGGCGAGGGAGGCCGGTGAGGGGCTCTGAAAGAGCTACCAGGCATCCCCCTCTCCGGAGAAGCCCTCCTGTGAAGGTCGCTCCCAGCTCCCTCAGCATGGTCCCCTCTGCCCACACACTCCAGCAGGCCTGCCCCCTCCCTGGCTGCTGACCTCTGCATCCCCGAAACACGGGCTTCTCTAACCCTGACCCTCCACGTCCCACCCCTACCCAGACCACAAAACACTGCTATTTAAGGAGCCATCTGAGGACTCCACAGTCTGAGCTGCCGGCTCTTTTTTTCTTTTTTTGTCATTCTGGTTACCTAGCAACGCAGCCACTGTGATTGCCGAAGAGACCAAGAGGAGTGACCTAAATCATGCCATGGAACTCCTCCTCTCTTCCTGCAGGTGGAGGTGCCAGATATATTGACATCCGCTTGGCTTCACCTTCTGCGCACAATCGCAAGTACAGAACCTTGATTCCCACCTTAGGCTCTTGACAAAGGCGAGGTCTGGCCATGCTTCCGAGGGCTGCCTGAGCCAACCCGGCAGACTGATCCAGTGCGCGGGGTTCCTGAGGGGCGGGGGGTGGAGAGTGCGCTTCCAGAACAATCTCCTGCTGCACTGAATGCAGGGGTGGGTGTAACCCAGCCTGTGGGGCCTCACGCATAAGGAACTCACTGATCACCCCAACTTCCTGCCTGTAAGGCCATTCTCATATCCACCTTGCTGGTGTGGGAAGAAGCCAGGCCAGGACACCAGCTCCCCGGATCTTGGGATATGCCAGGCTGCACCTGGACCTCTCTGAGTCTGGCTCTTCTCAGTAAGGAGGCTGAAGACCCTGTAATGTGACCCCTTTTCCTAAGACTGGGGGTGCTTCCAGGAGCACCCCCAGAAACTAAAGATAACTTCTGAGCACAGTGTACTCTTCTCAGGAGGGGTCACCACTTTCCTCAGCATCTCAAACGGGTCCATGACCCACAGAAGGGTGAGAACCTGGCCCTGGGCCTCTTGGACCATACTCACTATTACAAGGCTAGAGGCTCTTTCTCTGTTCCCTGGAGGTGGAAAGAAGCTGTCGCAACCCGCTGCAAGCTGTCTGCCCAGGCTCCACACGAGCTCCAGCACCTCGCCACCCCGAGGGCCTCGCCCTATCTGTGTTCTGAACTCTGAGCCTCGACGAGGCCCTGCGGAGCGCAGAGCCAGGGTGCGTCACGCCATGACTTCAGGGTGCTCAGGGAGGTGGCCAGTGTGACAGGGGAAGGGGAAGAGGTCTGGGAAGACAAATGCCTGGCAAGGTAAGCGGGGTGCAGAGAAGGCTCCCACTTTTCTCGGCTTCACCTCTCCAGGCCCTTCCCACCTGTCAGGCTGTAGCACCTGCCCTTCTTGCCCTTTCCTGCCAGGACCTGGCCACCCTCCATTCACGGAGGAGCTGCTGGCAAGGCCGGGAGGGCCCTCCTCAGAGATGGCTGCGGGGCTAGAAATGGCAGGTGGCGCAGATGGGTCAGGGCGGGACGGGGAGCAGGGAGGAATCCCCTCAGCCCCACAATTGGGCTCCGGGTGTTACAGCTCTTGGAACCATCTGCAAGCTCATGCCTCCTCACTTCCTGCCTTCGTAGCATCCTCGGCCCCAACACCCTCAGCGCCCAGCTCCGGAAAGGTTTTTCTTTCATGTCACTGCTGAGAATAGCGGCTTATGTAAGTGTGATTCTCATGGGAGGGAAAACCAGTGGGTGCTGGGGCAGAGCTTGGCGGGTGGAGAGCAAACGCAGCTCTGGAAACTGGAATAAGGTCAGCCCCGCGCTGAGCAGGGCTCCTCCTGGCCGCCCCCCGCCACGTCCCCCTCTGCTCCAAGCGCTTTCTCCACACTCCCTCAGGGGAGGGGGGCCCTGCTCCCGCCCAGGTGAGCTCCAGATGTCCTTTCCTGATGCCACGCTCCCTCCTGGGCAGGAAGAGAGCTGCGGCTCAAATGGAACAACCTTCCCCTCGCCTGGAACCCATGTCCATGCCTGCCTCAGGCAGTCACACCAACCAACTCACAGGCGGAAATGCTACGATGCCCCAGGCTTGCACATATACTCAGAGAAAAGCATCCACAGACACACCTGCCTACCTGGCACAGTCGTAACTCACAGGTAGGCACCAGATTCACACAGGGGTCTGTGTGTGACCCTTCATGCCCCTCATTCCCTAGAGATTAAAATCAGCTGCTGGACAATATTTCTGAATCACTGCCCCACCCTCCACCCAACTCTGGGAAGGACGAGAGGACAGCAGACCACCCTCCCCCGCCAGGGGTGAGTGTACAACCCCCAGCGCACTCTGGGTCTTACCTTCCCACAAGCCACCATGGAGAGGGCCACTTGGTACCAAAGGTGAAATTCTCCAAATGCGAACTTCATGGCTCGCTCCAGGCACTGGGGAGGGGGAGACAGTCAGCACTTCCCCTCCAGGGGTCCGTCCCACACCAGCCCACCAGACACCCTTCCAGGAGAATCTCTGCCCAAGTCGCTTCCCGCAGGAGGTCGCCAGAGCTCATACTTGGTTCCTGTCGGAAAACTCCAGGGGTAACCTGTCTCTGCCACTCGCATGCTGTGTGATCTTGTGCAAGTCTCTCACCCTCTCTGGCCCTCAGTTCCCGCCTCCATATCATGTGAACACCTCACAAGGGTGATGGTGAAGAGCAAATGAGATTGGTTAAAGTGCTTTCAAAATGTAAACATCCAATAAAAATCATAACAGCTGACAATTCTTCTTACTATCGTGCCTGGCACCATACTCAGCTCTCTACGTGTATTAACTCATTTACTCTTCCCAACAACCCAGGGAAGCGGGTTCTCTAATTACCCCCCACTTCACAGATAAGAAGCTGAAGCTAAGTAAACGACTTGCCACAGTCATAGGGCCAGCCAGTGGCAGACGTACTGACTCTAAAGCCCGTGCATAAAACGCTGCCCAAATGTATAGGCTTCCTTCTGCTCTTCTCTACGACCACCGAGAAAAACCGTCTGTTCCCTGTGGCCACTGTGATCCTGGGCCACTCCGATCCTGGGCCACTCCAGGTCAGGGGCTGCCTCTGAGATCTGACAGTCACCATCAGAAGTGGTTCCAGGTGACAGAGGCAGAAGACAGCATTCGAGGCCAGGATTCACTGTGTGGCCATGATCAGGCGGGTGGGGGACAGAGGTGAGGGGTACAGGATCACACAGCAGGTACTTTCAGAGCTTGGTGGCCTGGGTCCCCCCGTGTTGGCTCATCTGCACTCCCTGCACCATCCTGGGCAGAAACCCACCTCTCTGGGCCTCGCCTTCCTCACTGGTGAACTTGAGAGACCACTTATCCCCCCACGTTAAAGAAGGTATCTTCCGGAAGCACCTCGCACGGTGCCTCGGTGTGAGTAAGGGCTCAGCAGGCGTGACCGCCCCTCCGCTCGGGAGCCCTCCCAAACACGTGCAAAGAGAATCTGCCACCAAGAGGGCCACCTGTACAAGGGGCCGAGGGCCCCCATGCCACCCTTGATCCCAGCCTGGATCTGAAAGCTCAAAAATGTGCGCAAGCCATTCGCGCTGTGGGGAGGGGGTTAGGAGAGAGCGGCAGCTCTGTGCTCCTGGTCCCCACATCCTGGAGAGGGACCACCCTCTGGGCCCAGCCCATGGAGCACTGCCCCAGCAGTGTCTGCCCAACACAGTGGGCGTGCTCCAGGCTCCTGACCACACCCAGCTCAGAACCCTGCCAGGACAGGTAGTCACAAAACACCAGCATCACCTCTGGGGGAAACTGAGGGGTGGATAATTTTCCTCTTGTGCTTCTCTATACAACACCATGCGTTCTTTCACAAGAAAAAACACATGAAAATATCTGTAAAACAGGGCTTCCCTGGTGGCACAGTGGTTGAGAGTCTGCCTGCCAATGCAGGGGACACGGGTTCGTGCCCCGGTCTGGGATCCTGCATGCCGCCGAGCGGCTGGGCCCGTGAGCCATAGCTGCTGAGCCTGCGCGTCCGGAGCCTGTGCTCC